CAGTGAGTTGTGGTTATCTATAGACTTTCAATGGAGAGGCAACTTCCATTCAGGTTTCATTAAAAATAATAACAAGAAAAAAACTCTATAGATTTACTCTTCAGTAAAGAAAACTTTCAACCTGGTCTCATAAAAATACATAGGCCTACCTCTGGGTACTTTTCTGCAACACCGTTGCAAGAGTTATGCCGGTGAACGTCTTAATCTCAGTCATTTCACTATGCAGAAAGTGAAAGTAAAAATGGAATGACGGAGTAATGACGAAGCTTTCTGTATCTGTCGCCGCATATTCTCTCAGAGACGACGAGAGACCAATCTACTTCAACATATGCTAATAAAGGTATATAGCTAACTGTTTTCTTTTATTCCCTTAATATTTCTCTTGTGGCCCTTATAGTGGAGACAAAAAAAAAAGGCCAAGAAACGTATTTCGTATTAAACAGGTTGTTTTTGAAAGTTGGTGCTTGAAATAGGCTAAAGCTTTTTATTCATTGATTTTAATTGATGACCGCTGAGTTAATATTTTAATTATAGGCCTATAATTCATTGTATATAGACCTGTTTTAAAATACTTTTTTTTTTTTTTACATTTTAATCGAGGAGTAAACAGCCTAATCTTTTGTTATCCTCGCAGTGCGTCAGTTATGCGGTAGCTAATATTGCGGGGCAAATTAATTGTAATTTTAATTTAATAATAAACGTAACTTAATAATAATAATAACAGTCCTAATAAAAATACGAATGTAGCAGGCCTACATTAATTGGACATGCCAAATCCTCTTAATATTGCCAATAATTGTTGTTTTTGCATCAGTTTTCAAATCTCCCAGCATATTAAAATTGTTTTGAAGTCATAACATAAGATTCTTCAAGTAATTGTGCGAAAAACACACTTTATTAATCAAAACTCTGTATATTTGTGTGAAAAGGAATAAAATGTTTTATAAAAGCATCAGTTTTCAAATCTCCCAGCATATTAAAATTGTTTTGAAGTCATAACATAAGATTCTTCAAGTAATTGTGCGAAAAACACACTTTATTAATCGAAACTCTGTATATTTGTGTGAAAAGGAATAAAATGTTTTACTGCCTCTAATGTTCATTTCTTTTGGAAACTGCAGTGATATGTACTTATTGGTACGTACTTCGCGTCTCGCGAAAAAGTGCCCCCAGGTACGTTTTTGCCATGAGACCAGGTTAAAAACTTTATGAGAAGTGGTTTTAAAACCATAATTACAATTAACTTAAAGAGTATTACAGTTGTTAATGAAGTGACACATGCAAAGTTTCATGAAGATATACAGCCTCAAATCAACCTCCAATCAAATGAACCGTTGATTAATCAAATTGGGCCCACTTTATATTAAGCGTCCTTAAGTACTCACATTTAAATGAATTATTTAATATAATGCACTTATTGTGTACATGCATGTGTTTACATTGGGTTTATATTAAAAAATATTGTTCAGTATTAACATCTGTAATTAATTTCTGTAGTCACATCTATAATTACACTGCTGACCCTACTCCTGCCCCTTAACCCACCCTTAAACTTAACCAAACCTGTCCCTAACCTTACCCCACCTCAAAAGTGTTTTGCTTTGTAGTTTAACATGAACACAATACAGCAGATACATTGGACCTAACAATTTGTTATTTTATTATTAAGTATATGGTATTTGAAGACACCTATTGTAAAGTGGGACCATCAGATTTGTTGTTTAACAGTGTTACACTAGAATATTATGACTCTTTTTTTCAGCATGGTCTGAAGATCAAATCTGATCCAAATTTGTTGGCAATCTGATGAGCGCTGTAAGAGACACCCAAAAAACAGGTTTTCAGATAAACCGTGTTTGCTTTGTCATTTTTTGAGGCCTTACTGTCAAAATGGTTTAATTACAAGCAAAAGGACTTATTTTTATTGACTGACATGACAAAGCTTGAACAACTTTTGGACAGCTTCATCTGAAGATGCTATGAGCCAGAACTGGAGAAGCTCCACAAATTACTCTAGGAGAAGTTTGAAAAAAAAGCATGTATTTCAACATTCACTTCCATGTTTTGCATTTTTTCAAATATATGTGGATATCCAAATATTGCATGAGGTTTTGACGAAAACCTCTGGACTGAGGAGGTATTGTGCAGTTTATTACAGCTACTGAACTGTCAAAATCATTATGACAACACCAACAGCTAATGTGTGAATTCTGTTCTCAGAATACACATACACTCACTAATGAACAAGTATGCAGACAAATGCACACATACTGTACATGCATGAAAGCCAGTATATGCTCCACACATATATTTAAATTGTACACTCATACTATCTTCGTTTGCACTTCAAAAATGTATCGCATTTCCTCTATTCTGTGCTTAATGTCTTTGAGAACAGCTAGAGGGGTGTGTATGTGTTGGTGTCTCTCTTTAGCATGCGTTAGAACCGACTTGCCCTTTAACCTCTGATTGGCTGAGGCGTGCTGCGCATTAGAGAGAAAGGTATAATGAATGATGGACAGTACGCGTATGCGTGTTAGACTGCATTGCAAGTGTCTTCAGCTTAGGGGACCACACGTATCTTGACATACAGCAGATGAAGGGTCATGCTTTTGTTCCTGTCATACCCTGTACATAAATGTGCTACGGTTTTACTGTAGTATTTTGAAGTACTATTTCTCTGGAAATAGCATTTTGGTGGAAATATTACAGATTTTTACTGTAATATAATTGGGTCTATAGGATTGATGGAATATGTTTGATTTTTGAATGAAAATCATGAAAATCAAACTTCATAAACCTCAATATGGAAATATAAAATATGGTTACTGTATGCAAGAACTAGGGATAATTTCTATACGAACAGTTATAATATTAATATAGTGTATTAATAGTTGATAGTATAGTGTATAATATTAATACTATTATTAGTATTAATAGTATATGTATTTATTTTACCTTAAATTTGACTGTTCTAAGAAATGAAAAATTTTAAACTCATTTTAACCCCAAAGGCATTTTAATAGCTCAAAAAAACATACTTAACATTGAAGAATCAGGTTAACACTTTTTACTACACTATTCATCTCTGGGACACCAATAAAATCAATAAGGTGTATCTGAAAAGAACATGAGGGCTAAACGACTGGACTCTTCTAAGCAACTTCTGGCGGTGTTTAACAGAGATGTGTGATTGTGTAGGAGACTCAGTGTGATGATGAGCGGTTAAGTTGGATGTAGCTGCACAGAGTGTCAGCAGCGTGTTTGTCCGTGAGGTCTAATGATGAAATAAAGTTGCTGTGACGGAGATGCTTTGAATGATGTCATGTAATTACTGGAGTGTGTGTGTGTGTGTGTGTGTTTGCTCCTGCTGAGTCCCTGAAAGCCTTCCAATGCAAAACAGTGTGGCAAGTCTGTTAGCCAACTGCTCCAGTGTGTGTGTGTGTGTGTGCGTGTGCGCTGTTATATTTTAAAGAGCATCAGAGGTGCTGAGAGAAATGAGCAAGGAGGAGAGTGAGAAGGAGAGAGAAAAGTGATGTGAGCCCCCTGGCTTAGTTTCCTTTCACTCTGTAATTACCAGCTGTGCCTCCTCACACGATCACGAGGATCAGATTGCACTTACACGCACACACTTGGACTAATAAAAGCTTATCAAGGCCCATGTTCTTCCGCAACTTCTCTCCGACCTGTCACTCAGTGCTATATGACATATAACACAGATGGGTGAGCGGTCAAATACTCCAATAACAAATAATCCAAGACAAAACCAGAATAATTCAGGTGTTCTCCGGATTCATTTCAATTCATGGGTTGCTTGAACAATCATAAAATTTGGCTCTTTTGTCAAAGCCTATAAATCTTTAGGGTTTAAAGGGGCTGGCAGACATAGATGTGTTTTCCACAAATCAGACTAAGTAAACAAATCAAACCAGATTAGTAGAGTCCTAGAAAGACAAGCACCAGGGCGTTTAATTGCTGTAAGTAAGTGTTGGGTAAACACGTATGGAAGATTAGTGTGATATTCAAACCTGTGGCTATTTATAAACTAAAAGACATGTTTATGTTTCATATTACTGTTCTTCCTCATGCTGGATCTTGATGGCAGTGTGTAATCAGGCATTTATGCAGGCTCATTATATATAAACCAAGCATTGGATGGATTAACAGACACTTTGTTGTTGTTTGAGGATGTTTATTAACCTTCTATCTATCTGAATCAGAACATAACACATCTGAATGTACAGGCACCAATTACCAATCAAAAAGCACACCAGATAAACTCAGTTTGTTTTTCTGAATTTCTGGAATTTTGGCCATTTTAATACACAGACTTTATTTGGTTGATCACACTAGACATCCTTTTCGCTTTCAGAATTCTCTCCCTCTCTCTTTTGCGGTTGGGATGTTTGGCATGCTTATTGTATTAGTTGTGTTATCGCTGAAGGTCTCAGAAGAACCTGTGTGAGGTCAAACGTCAAGTCCCAGAGCTCATTAAAATACACACACGCACACACAGGCTTGTTATTTAAATACAAACTGAAAATCCACTGTAATGCTTTCTTGCTCAGCCATAGGTTTCAAATAAAAACATTTGCAGTTGAGCTTAAATTGGGTGTTTAATGGGATAATTCAGCCAAATATATATAAAAAGATCCCTTCATCATTGACTCACCCGCAGGTAATTCCAAACCTGATGACTTCTTTCTATTGTAGATCACAAGCAAATATATTCTGAAGAATGCAATTTTGGACCCCATTGACTTGAAGAAAAAGCTGGGACATTTGACAAAATATCTCTTTTTGGGTTACACAGAAGAAAGAAAGTCATACAGGTTTGGAACAACATGAGTGAGCAAATGATGACAGAATGTTCATTTTAGGTTGAACTATTCCAAGAATGCTGAAATGCTTAACTGTGCTTGTCCAGATTTAGACCAAATTATGCTTGTCCATATCTACATGAAGCCAATTTAGGCTAACACCAGAAACTGTATCACACTAGGGGCCACTAGGGGCTCATAAATGCAGGAAAATAATTTCATTTGAGCAAAAATCACCCAGAGAACAATTACATTTATGCTAATAATCATTTAAGTGGTGTATCCTCATCACCATCCTGTGCGTAATTAACGCATTTCGGTTAATAATAGCCAAACACAAGACACCATTAAACAAAAAGGGACAAATTCAGACAACATATTCTCATACTGGCGCTGAGTTCAGGTGACCCTTATATTCCCAAAGACACTACAGACAGGAATGACAATGGAGTGCCGAGGGAATATGCGCCGCGCGGAGAGAGAAGATTCATTAACAGTCAGCTTAAAGACGAAGCAGGTGGCGGTTCAGTCTGGATACAGAATGAAACCAGAAAATGTACTGTATTTGTTGTTGTTTCCTCCGTGCGCCTTTCCGCCGTCGAGTTTGACATAAATCTCGTCGCCAGAGTCCAGGTGCAGCACGACGCTGTTGCTCGCGTAGTCGTAGTTCTGATCGGCGTCTTGCGCGATGGCGCTCGCCCGAACCTGTTCAAATAAACGCAGAATGTCATTCAGTGCCAGCACCTATCGCCTGTAATTCAGAAATAAAACATCTCTTAAAATAAATGGATCTTAACTGATAAGAAACGTTTAATTTTGTTTTAATATTTGTGAATAAGGATCACACTTTTACTCGCCTGTCGTTTTGCTAGTTTTGAGAACGAATTAAGAAAGGCACGACTTACAATAGGCTAATGACTAATAACCCTAATTATTTGTTTATTAATACTGTTATTTTAAAACATCATACATGGATTCACCTCCCTGTCTGCAGCAACAACAGCCAATGTTTTGCTATTAATGCACAATATGCCTATGCGTTCGACTGCTCTTTATCTCGAAATGCAAATCGTATTTTGTTGTATGATGCATAGTCTATTGTTGAAATGATTATTATAGCCTACTGAATCGCCCAGAGAACCAGTAAGATTTAGACTTGTTTTGCCTTCAATGCCAGCTGCAAATCAAAGAAAACAGCCAAGAAGGCCTTTTTGTCAGTTTAGACTACTTTTCGGCGTTTGATATAGCCTATAAACTAACATGTCTGACTACAGTCACATCCATAGAGTTCTTCAAACGCACCAGACGTGGATCTTGTGTGATACGCGTAATTACCACACCATGCGCAATTACTTGATAGTCGATGCATTTGGATCGTATCAAAGTAATCGTATACAACTAATTTGGAATTTTGTTTTATCGGTGTGCGAATTATTCATTGACTTGAAGTGGCGTCGACTTTTCGATAATTTCTGATCAGTAGCCTAGAAAGTTCTGGACAAAACCGCGCGCAACCAATTATCTTTCGGCACTTTCATGCACTTAGCCAGTTCTGTCTATCTGATGCGGAAATCTAGATTAAAGCGATAAATAATGACTACACATCTACTTTATTGATGTACCGTCCGAATTAGCGATAAAGATTTTGCTGTTACTTACAAAGCAACACAGCGCGCTGTGTGTAACTTTTGTGCGGAACGCTGTTTAAAAACAGGGTTGAAATGTAGCTGTTCTTTGAGTCCCTCCATCCTTTTTTTCCTCTTGAACCCCCTTTGGGTGACTCAAGTCTCAATTAGCCTTAATTCGCACCATGTGTTTGCTGTTTTGCTCCTGTAAACTTAGTAGAAATACCTGTCCGTTTTTACAGAGGTCTGCCCACATGCTTGTTCCGTCCCCTCCGCGCATCAGCACATGGTAGGTGAAGTAGTAAATCCCCGATACCTGGCACGTAAACTTGCCAGTAGTGGGATCATAGTGATTTCCCACATTTGTCACAACATCATCAAACCGAAGCACCTCGTAGCCTTCGTGGGGGTTCTTGAGACCCACATAAAACGCGACCTTGATGTTCCCCAACGCTGGACCAACGTCTCCAGTCTCGGTCCTCGCCGTTCCCGACGTGATGCCGGTAAATCCAGGTCTGCCGGAGTCTCCAGGTGGTCCCCTTGGACCAGGTGGACCTGGTTCGCCAGGTGGACCCCTGGGTCCCGGTTTGCCCGGACGGCCCGGTTCCCCTCTAGTCCCTTGAGCGAAAGATGGTGGGATGGCACTGAGATCCTGCATCACCTCCAGAGCCGTGGCGCTCGGTTTGGGGTTGTACGGATCACAGATCATCCGACAAGTGCCCATCATTTCGTAGTGCGCTGAAACCACGGAGGTCTGGATCAGAAGCGGAATTGCGATGACCAGCGCCACGATCATGACGATGCCCACGACCGCGCCAATTATTCGCTTGCTGTGGAGCACCCGGGAAGCTCGCGCTAAAAAGTCCGGCTCGTTTCTGGAGGAAATGGTGACACGCGAACTGGAAAGTATGGCAAGGGAGAAAACAAAACTCTCTTTCCTTTAAATGTATATACAAATACACACGCTCCCCACCAACGCAGAAATGTGGCGTACCCCCTTCTCGTGACCTCTGGCAGAATATCACTGTCTGTGCCAGAGTTGTCAGAGAAACTATTGGCTTTGGCACGCGCGCCGGAGCGCGAGGCGGAGCGGTGAATGTTGCGCGCAGAGAGAGAAGACGCGCTGACTGACGTAGCAACGCGGTTGCAGTTTGGATGAACGATGCTGCGATGATAATATCTCCTCTAAAGCTATAAATAAACATAGAGAACGATCCGAGCGTAACAAAACATATGTTCTCTTTCAACAGAATTGGTTTTAAACCCATTTTTCTCTACAGACTTGTAATTGTGTTAATTGACATTCATAACAAGTTTTAGTTAAGCTCTTGTTTCAGTTCTGTGCCAATTTTAGCATGGAGAATGCTAATGCTTCATGTTCATCACTCTTTCCATGCTGATGGTGTCTGTGCACCATCATTTATAGTCAGCGTAACTGAGGTGGAGACTGCACCAACCTCTTAGCCTTTAGCACATGCCAACATGTTGAAAAATCACTGCAGAAACACTTTTTTGTGTTTTTTTTTTTTTTTTTGCACTATGGACACTGGTATTTATGTAAATACACTGGTAACCTTAAATGGCAACATCTAAATTAACTGGTTTTATTGAAGTCAAACTTAAATATCACTGAAACAACCTGAATACATTAATTAATGCCAGCAAAAGTAATTTTCATGTGTTAAATCAGATATGAAAAACTCTTTGAAGTAAAAATCACGTGATCACTTTTTTACTGTGTACTATGATAAATATGGTAATTATTCAGTGCCATGGTATAAATCAAAGCACCATGGCACTATAGTCCTTATAATTAATGTAATACTTGCTACAAAGCTTCCTTATAATAACCTTACTGCATAACATTGGATACAATTTGATGCATTTTACACTGCTTGTATTATTGATGACAATTAGCTGATAAAGGTGACAATGATTTTGTGCGACTTACCCTTTTAATGGACTGTCAGTGTAATAAGTATGGTATAAATTTCTGTGGAAGAAAATGAAATGGCAGCTTGCTATTTACTTTTTTACCAAATATGAATCTGAGCTTGAACATGATATTTAACATTCCCTATATGCAATTATAAATATAGATAACAGATGGAAATGGGGGGAAAAAAATGTAATTAGTTTTTAACCCACATGGAAGACAGGTATAATAATACAAAATCTGTTTTAATATAAAAAGTAGCTATAATATATATATATATAATATAATATAATATAATATAATAAAAGCAAAAAAGCACTGTTTATGTCATTTTTTATGCATTTGAGTTTTTTTTGCCTGAAAAGTGTTATTTATGCATATAAAAAAAAAGTACCAAAATATTATGATCTCTATAGAATATGCACCAGTGTAGTACCATCCCATGACGGTGGTAAATGTGTACCATGCATCCTAAATTATTAAATAACTGCAGTAGTGATTCTCGTTTTGAGATAAAATGATAATTCCGTCAATGGTACAGAATGACCTTGAGTAGATTCATTTGTGTTTCACAGGTGCATCATCAGAAGAAAGTAAACAGAGGCAGTGAGCTGTTCTATCTAGCAGACTATGGTGGGAGTGAGTGTTTTACCTCAGGCCTTAACTAAAACTTGAGCCCCCTTCATGGGTTCTGCCTGGAAAAACATGTGAGATGTGACATGCAAGAGCGAGAGTAACATCGCTAGCGAGAGTCGCTATTCTATTTCTGCTATGCTGTTTGCTCCCCTGTTTGTCTTTATTTATGTGGAAAAGTTCACGTGTGTGGATGAATCTGTGTGCCAGCTTATTCATGGCTGTGTTTGTCTGTGTGTGTCATTGTGATTGTGTGTCTTTGTGTTTAAACTTATCTGCTCACTGGGCTGTTAGATGTGGCTCTGACTGCTGTGACTCAGGCTTGCGTGTGTGACAGAGAACACAACCATGAATAAACTGACACACATACACATTCCCTCTCTCTTCACTCACACACACAGCCATAAATATATTAGCCCTTGCACACATCCACTCATAAATAAACCTGTGCTCACACACACACACACACACACTTAGACACGCACAGACATTTCTGTTCTGTTTCCAATCACTCATAGTGTTAAAAGAGGCAGCAGCCAAAAATGTGATTGCGTTTGCTGAGAACTTAAACAATATGTGGAAAACAGGATGCAAATGCATGATGCAAACCTTTTTGGTTTTTATAGTGTATATATGAAACTATAAGCACATTTTTGTTATATGGCCAAACGTTCAGGAAGTTCCATACCATTTCTAACTGCTTCCAATTAAAAAAAAACAAACTGCTCAAACAGTATTTTGCATGTCAGTATCATTTGGTGCCAAAGCAAATTTGTACAGACAATATAACGGGTGTTTGCAGGAAGACAGAAGAACAGATTTCTAACACGGGTTTAATAATGAAGATTAACAGATCAGGCAAACAGGTAGTATAGCGAAAGTGCAGTAGTAGCAAAGTCTATGTTGTGTGTGCTTCTTATGTATTATAACCCAGAAGAACACGAACACATCATGTCATCACATCACATAATTTGATCTAAAATATAGAAGAATATTAAAATTGTAGGTTTATGTGTAAACCTGAGTGTTTTACAGGTGTAGATGGCTCTTTTTTGATGCAGGGCTGTAGTGAATCAACACTGACTCTCACCTTTGTCACAAACAGGCCTAATTATGTCAGAAATACTTGTGCATGATTGGCCTGTGTTGCCATATGTGTGTTGTTTGCAGATGAGAATTATTCTCTGTTTTCATGATGCTGCATGCTGTTTATGGTCCCAATCACTGAGAAATGAAGAGAGTAATAGACACGGAGAGAGAATGATACTGTGTGTGTGTGTGTGTGTGTTAGTGATAGTTTGGTTTTGTTTTGTTTAATCTTTTATTTACTCTGTGCAGACATATTTTCCTTCACTGCAGTTATGTTCTTCCTTTAAAGAAATAGTTCACCCAAAAATGAAAATTTGCTGAAAATTCACTCATCTAAGATGTACTGTATATGAATTTGCTTGCTCATTAGAACAGATTTGGAGAAATGTAACATTACATCACTTGCTCACCAATGGATCCTCTGCAGTGAATGGGTGCCGTCAGAATGAGAGTCAGAACAGCTGATCAAAACATCACAACAATGATAGATTAGCAAATTTCTACAAATCTCTCTGGACGAAGAAACAAACTCATCTACATCTTGTATTTCCTGAGGGTAAGCAATTTTTCAGCAAACTGAACTATTGAAATAAACTATTTCAGCAAAATGAAAATGAATTCCTTTAAGTTCTGCCTGCTCCTCTCACTGAAAATGATTGAGGACTGTGTATGTGTGTGTGTGTCAAAATTTCCCCACAAAGATTGCAATATTCAAAATCCTTGTATTTGTGGGGACTTTTTTTTTTTTTTTTTTTGGTCCCCATGAGGAAAACCGTTTATAAATCATATGAAACCATGATTTTTGTAAATCTAAACATGGCAGTATTGTGTGATGGGTAGGTTTAAGGGGCATAGAAAATACAGTTTGTACAGTATAAAAATTACACACATAAATCATGGAAACCCAACGTCTTTGTGCGTATTTAATATGAACAAAAATAAGTAAAAATATCTGTTTTTGGAAGAAGTGGCAATTACTATGATGCCAATTACTGCCACCTGCTGTCAATCACCCACCAATGCATCAGAAACTCACATTCTCTGTTCATGTTTACGTTGTGTAAAAGACAGAATTTAATCCTACGTTTTGCCTATTCTGGGTGAAGAATGCATTACTATATGATATGTAGTGTTTAGATTTAGTATACTAGATTAAGTATATTTTACCTAATTTTCCTGTTCAAAGTCAGAGATTGGAAATTGTGAAACAATATACTCTTCTACATACTCACAGACAACAAAACCCACACCATCTGCCTACACACACACACACACACACACACACACACAAGTATGTGTGTTTAAATGTCAGTGTGCCGTTAGCAGTGAATGTCTCCTGCTCTGGCCCATAGTGCTACTGCAGTGAACCCTGCATACATGAACACCCCCTGAGGTCATACACACTTAAAATGCTAGCTTTGCCCTTTATGCGGACACACATAAATACACACATAATCATGCATATATATACACACACATATACAGTGAAGGGGCTCAAGTCTGGGTCAAGACTATGACCTGTAATCCTGTAATGTGTGTAATGTCGTCTGAGTTGTAAAGGTATCAAGTAAGCTGTAAATAAGTGACCCATCGACAGACATATACGCGTGTCCTTTCTTATCAGTGATGCAATTTATTATCAGCTATGCATGTTCTGGTAATTCAACCTATAAAGCCTACTGCATGTTATATTTTATACACAAATAATTAGGAAACTTAGGCTTACTTTTTTTTTTTTTTAAGAAATATCAAAAATTATCCATCAGGCTTTTGAGAAATGTCTATTCGTCCATCTCTCAATCATCATTACATGTTTTGACCCCACAATAGGCATTTAAAATCATATTATTGGAAGGCATATTATTGGAAGATATAGAATGACAACTGATATTTCTATGCATTTTATTTTAATAGTATGCTCTACTAGAGATCTCATTAATTTACATTACAAGCCATCAGAATTTCATCTTTCTTTTGGGCATATAAATAACCGCAGCTGAACCAAATTACACATTTTGGCTCAGTTTGAGCCTCTGAATACAACTGAATTCTTTTTTTACTTAATTATTTTTAGTATGAGCTCCATATTCTCACTATATCATAGTGAGCCATAAAATATGTTAGATTTTATATATTAAATTTTGTCAAAAGGTTTAATAAACTGTTTTTGAATATTATTTTGTATGTCAGGCTTCACAGGGTTAAAACATTAGGAGCTAGATTTACTAAATGGCAAATTAGAGTGAGAGCACAATCCCATAAAAGCGCCAGAGGCAGTGGAAAATTCTGCGGATGATCTGGTCTGAAAGGGAAACTCCTACATATGCATATGAAATAAGAACAGCTGCCAAAATAACTGCCCACGCTAATTTTTCACTGCGTGTCTTTAGCAAATCCTGGCAGTTATAAGGCATTCTTGTGCACTTTTCCCAAGTAAAATAAATGTAGA